CCTCTGGGAGGAACCTGTTACAGCCAATAAAAACTAGGCTGTGTCAGACCTCCCGGAGGGCCTTCTCCGCAACTGCTCCCAGACTCTGGAATGGCCTGCCGGAGGAGATCCGTCATATTACCACTCTTGCTGCCTTCAAGAAAGCAGTAAAGACGAACCTCTTTCGGCAGGCCTTCCCGGAATAACTTTCCGGCTCCAGGAGTCAACTATATTGTCCTTCCTCCAGCTGCTCATTTTGTATTATTATTTATTTTGTTTTTATGTGGAATATGTTGTTTTAACTCATAACTGGTTTAATATTGTTTTAAGGGGTGGGAGAGTTGGAAGGGTATGTGACTGTTTTAACTTATGCATTTTTAATTGATGTAACCTGCCCCGATTGCTCCGCAGAGGGGCGGGCTATAAATAAAATTTATTATTATTATTATTATAAGTCAGAAATGACTTGAAAGCATGCAGCAACAACAACCTTGTTAATTGCTAATTCCTGAACATCAGTGCTGCATGTCATGAATTTCAGCTGTCCTTTATTGCCATTTTGAAAGCTTGTGAAACATACTGGTCTGTGTCTCTGCTGTTGAGGGTAGATCAGCACGAGGGCTTGGAAACCATCTTTCTAACAGGACCTGGGCATTTCCATCTCAGAGGTAGGGGAATTGTGCAGAGAATGAAAATTGAGATAACATCACTGACCTCTGCTACAAGGCTTGTGTGACCGTCAAGCTCAGTATTCACAGCTTTTTTCCAGGATCTCAGGTGGTCTTTCATGTAGCCTGTCATTCTGTTTAACCAGAGATGCCAGGGACTTATTTTGGACCTTCTACATGCAAAGATAGTGCTTTTCAACTGTGTGACCATGTCTGTAAGCTTGTGCCTGTGACAGATTACAAAGCAACGTGGTGAGCAGGCACATGGCACGCTAAAGGAGACAGAAGTTGCCTGTGGCAGAACGGATGCTCACTGTCTCATCTTCCAAATAATGCCTTTTTTTTTTTCCTTTCCATGTTTCAGTTTTATGTTCAAACGCCAAACCAAAACCAAGAGAAAGCTCTTGAATCAGATACAATAGCAATAGCATTTACATTTCTATACTGCTTCATAGTGAACTAAGCACTCTCTAAGCAGTTTACAGTCTGTAAGCCAATTGTCCCCAACAAGCTGGGTACTCATTTTACCGACCTACGAAAGGATGGAAGGCTGAGTTGACCTTGGAGCCTCGAACTCACAACCTTGTGGCTGCAGTACCAGTATTTAACTACTGTGGCACCAGGGATTTTTCATAGAATCATAGAATCATAGAGTTGGAAGTGACAACAAGGGCCATCCAGTCCATCCCCATTCTGCCATGCAGGAATACACAATCAAAGCGCTCCTGACAGATGGCCATACAGCCTCTGTTTAAAGACCTCCAAAGAAGGAGACTCCACCACTCTCCAAGGGAGTATGTTCCACTGTCAAACAGCTCTTACTTTCAGAAAGTTCCTCCTAATGTTGAAGTGGAATCTCTTTTCCTTTAGCTTCCATCCATTGCTCCATGACCTAGTCTCTGGAGCAGCAGAAAACAAGCTTTTGTGCCCAGTCAGCTGGCCTAATAATGGCAAAATCTAGTGCAGATTAGATCCTAGTCTACAAAATTTTACGATACAACTTCTTTCGCAGTTGGTCTCAAAGGTGCTACAAGATCCCTTTGCATACTGATGATGATGACATTATTATTATCCCCAAGATCTGCAACTGATGTGAAATGAAATAGCAGGGCTGGAAGCACACCTGAGACATGGGAGAGCTTCTGCTAACTGCAGCAGACAATCCTGTAGCATCAATGGGCTGGTGCAGCATGAGGTGTACAGTGCATTAGAAGACACCCTGCTTCACTCCCTCAGGACTATGTCATAAAGGAAAAGAGACTTTTCTCATGGTCTCAGGAGCCTAACACTCACTGAGAGCAAAGTCCTCATTCGCCAGCAAAGTTGGTGCAATCCTGGGTGGAGACCTATTACCTGTGGGTGTTGAGCAGCTGCAGGTTCAGCAGCATCCTGTCATTCCCTTTGTAATTTGTGGTTGCAAGAGTGGTTTTCTTTTTTCTTGCTGACTACGCAGGGAGAGCCCACACCAAGGAGTTTATCACACGGGACAGATCCTGTGCAAAAATTGGGTTTAAAGTGAAAACAGCCCGCAAAAGCAGATTGTTTTTCACACAACGTTCGGGGTTAACCTGAACAGAAAGTAGAAATAACCTGGAAAAGCGGGTTGTTTTTCACACAATGTGAAGGAGAAATAGCATGTCATTAATCAGAACGGAAAGTCACCAAAACCCGCTCCCTTTTACTTTTGGGAACTTCCGAAAGTAAAAAGGAGCAGGGTTTGGTAACTTTCCATTCGGGTTAATGCCGCGTTATTTCTGCTTTACACAACCCGCTTTTGCAGGGGTTTTTCAAATTTTTAAATCCAATTTCTGCATGGTATTTAAGCAGTTTGCCTCTGTGTGATAAACAGACAGTGTTTAATTCCAGACTCAGCACAGTCCAGCACCCAGCCCCAAATGCTGCGCAAACAAAAACTTAACGTGAGACCAATTGTTTAGTGACCAAACTTGAACATCTACATTTAAAGAATAAATTTTAAGTATTACATACACCCATGCACACTCAGCTGCAGAGAGAAGAAATAAGTATATGTTGCTCTCTTTCATTTATTGGATTCAGAAGGAACTTTGCTTAAAGCTTCAAAGAGCTGCTGCTACTCAGAATAAACGTTATTGGGTGAAACAGATATAAGCACATATCTGCCCACATGACTGTTCACTTCAAATGCAGCACAGACAAGGCGTACGTGTGAAGAAGCTCTCATTCAATTCAATATTCAACATTATATTATATTATATTATATTCAATATTATATTATATTTGTATATTCAAGCAGCTAGTCCTCATGACTAGTTGCACCTGTGTATCATGCTTCCGTGTGTGTTACTAGGAAACACTAAGGGGCCTATCTGATGGAGTAAAATAGGATCGGTTAATTTTTATGCATATTTATACAGTGATTATTTTCCTCACTGTTACCTTGACATATACATAGCCTCACAGAATCATAGAGTAGGAGGAGACCACAAGGGCCATCCAGTCCAACCCCCCTGCCATGCAGGAACTCACAATCAAAGCACTCCCGACAGATGGCCATCCAGCCTCTGTTTAAAAACCTCCAAAGAAGGAGACTCTACCACTCACTCTTCATGGTAGCATGTTCCACTATAGCTCTTCCTAGTGTATAGGTGGAAGTTCTTCCTAGTGTATAGGTGGAATATTTTTTCCCAGTAGCTTGAATCCATTGCTCTGTGTCCTAGTCTCTGGAGCAGAAGAAAACAAACTTGCTCCATGACATCCCTTCAAATATTTAAATATGGCTATCATGTCCCCTCTTAACCCTCTCTTCTCTCGACTAGACATACCCAGCTCCTCATTGGGCATGGTTTCCAGACCTTTCACCATTTTGGTCATCCTCCTCTGGACATGCACCCACTTGTCAACATCCTTTTTGAATTGTGGTGCCTAGAACTGGACACAGTATTCCAGGTGAGGTCTGACCAAAGCAGAATAGAGTGTTACATGTGATCACTTGAAACAGACTAATTCCCCTTTAACACATAGCAAATAACGTATAAAGTGTGGTAAAAAAAGCTGGAGTTTCCTCCACTCCTCATCTGCTTCAAATTTAAATGCAGAATTCTAACTTGGATTGGTGGGTATCTAGTCAGAGCAGACAGATCAAAAGGATGCGATCACATGCAAAAGGTGACTCTCAGACATTTGATTCACAGATAAATCCTGGTTTTTCTGTAGATTTCTCCCTTTTAGATTGTGCCTCAAACAGTCAGGAAGGAACTGGGTGTATCTGCTTTTGGGTGAGGCGGCATAAGATTTAACTATGCCAGTTTCCTCTGGGGCATTTTTTATGTAGAGAGGAAAACTCAGCATTGTATTTTTACTTACGCACACACAAAATACAGAAATTTAGCCAAATTAATTTTAAGAGCAAGCTCTCATTGGCCAAGACATTCTCATAAAGTGAAATTAGAGAAGCAGTTCAGTTGGGGTGAGATGGGAAAGATGTAGGATTGCTGACCAGGAGAACAAAAATGCCTTGTTTTGCTTTTGGGCTATTAATAACTCTTTGATCTATCTACAAGTGAAGCTTTTCATAATTAAAGTGTCTACAACGGGTGTGGATAGCTGTGGCCCTGCAGATATTTTTGGCCTCTGTAGCCAAAAGTCTAGTATGGGAAATTTTGTTAAGCTCAAACTGAGAGGGGGTCGGCTACAGGACCCTGCAAGACCGTCTCCCATGTGTCCAGTGGATCTAAAAATTGATGCAGAGACAGAATTCTCCAATTAAAGCATTATTTATTAAAGGGAAAAATCACACAGCAAGTCACGTACACACACACACTCATGCAAGGTTGAGGAAATCAGGGGTTAGCCTGGATAACCTTAGAGGCAAAACTATGGGTGATACTTACTACCGATCAAGCTTTCTCCGGAGTTCAATTGGGTGAAGTGGTGTGAGACACAACCGTTCTGAGAGCGTGGGTTGAACGGAGGTGCTGGTAACCAGATCAGAGTACAGAGTGACGCAGGGCACCCTGAACTCAGACTAGCGACACTGAAGGGAGAAATCCAGGGGTTTTTAAGGGATAAAACTAGCCGCAGGACAAAGGTGTGAGACTGCTTGGGTGAGGTAATCTGGTTGGCAATATTCAAGGGGAAATGGGAGAGGATTAAGTCGTTAGCTGCCCATCAGGTGAG